AACTGAAAACATGTCTAAAATCTGTTTCAAATTAAAAAGTGTTCAATAGAGTTGTTGCAGTATAACTAGCATGACAGATGAAACAGTTCAACTGTTCAACAGGTTGTAGCTAAAGTTTTTAACTTTGATTTTTCAGTTGACGCAACACTGGAAATATGTCTTTGCAAAAAGAAAAATATCTACAAACCTCTGGAAAAGTGAATTGAAAATGTATTCTACAGTGTTGCACAGGCTAGGCCCATATGTCTGTCACTTGCTAGTTCATTTTTATTCACAAAATATTAAAAACAACCATTTTTAATAACTATTAAATATCAATATGAAAAAAATAACCCTGGCTAGGGTCTATTGCTTGTAAAACATTAGCTCATAAAGCTAGAGGAGATTTGTGTCTTGATTTTAAAACCCACTATTTCATTCTAATTTGCATGGTGTTCACAAGGAAAGTTCTCAAAGCTGATCCAAGTAGGTAATATGAAGCATGTGTTTTTCGATATTATTTATACCACAAATAATGATAAGTTCCTGCTAAGACTGGCTGACAGGAGCACATTGCTGAATATTAAGATGAGGTTTGCTTTACACAAGTCACCTGAGATGAAAAAAAGAGATAATAATGCAATGATTCTGACTTCATCCACCACCAGACAGAAATACTCATATTTTACATGTATACCAGGCAGTTTTAAGCTAAAGTGAATACTAAATGCTTTGATGGGTAATTTGATTGATTGAAGTTGAAAAGCAATCACCTGTATTGCAATTATCTTATAATCTTAAATGGATTGTTACCCAAGAATGAAAATGTTGTCATAATTTACTCACCCTCATGTTGTTCCAAATCTATATGAGTTTCTTTCTTCTGTTGAAGAAAAAAAGAATATATTTTAAAGAATGTTGGTAACCAGACACTTGTTAAATTCCATAGTAGGAAAAATAATACTATGGAATTCAATGGCTAAGTCAGCTGTTTGATTACCAACATTGCTTAACATTTCTTCTCATATGGTCAACAGAAGAAAGAAACTCATACATGTTTGGAACAACAAGAGGGTGAACTCATGGACTCAACTTTTTTTTTTATATGACGGGGGTGGGGTGGGGGGGGGGGGGACTATCCCTTTAATCTATTTGAAAACACTGATACACATACACTCCACACCCCAACAAAAGCCCTGAGATAGCTGTCAAGAAATGATTCGGATGAATCAAATGAATGCTGAATCAAGTGATTAGCTGTCTAGCCTTCATGAAACACAAACTTACTTTTAACGATTCGCTCAGTTGTCGACAGCTGTTCTTTCGGCTCTTTAGTCGACATCTTCTCACAGTTCAGTCAGGATTTTTTAGCCAGTAAATGAACAAAGATATTCTCCGTGTTTGCTGGTGCCAGTCCGAGGAAGAAGATATCGCAAAACGTCCAGCGACTCCGATGGGTCCGAGAACTGTTCAAATTCAGAGAAACGGGCAGGTTTAACGCTAACACCGCTAATTTAGCCAACACTGAACAACAGTTGGTTACACGGGTCACGGGGCAGTAATGTATATAATAACATAGCCAGCACACACACCGACTCGATCGCTTCTCCTCCTCGCTGACAGAAATACAATCACCGATCCCGGTCTTGGTGTTTTCCTGCTGACATTAACCTAACTAGCTATCAGCCTTTCTCTATAAGATTTATTGGGATCGTAGCAACGGCAGCCAGCGACGCAAGATGATTAGGGTTTGGTGCGCAATCTTGAACGTTAATCCGATTTTCCACTTTTCAGAGTCAGAATGTCAACTCGCCAGTCTAGCCACACACTCGTGAAGAGAGTTCGGCATAATAATAACGTGACGAACTGCGCCGAATTGTCTTAATAAACATATGTCCTGTCTTATGACAACAGAGATTGCGCGATCTGCCCGCCCACTAGAGCTAACCATATGGCTAGCAGTAACTTCCAATCACACTCTCGTTCCCAGCTCCTCAGATTAAACGCTAATCTCTAAACCTCAGACGGATTTCCTACAATATGGCGGAGCTGTGGCTCTCGACGCGATGGCGTAGGTGTGACGTAGCACGTAATATTTGACACTTGCTAAGCAGATGGTTAAATCGGTCGTGACTCGTGCTGGGGGTCCCTCAGAGCTCGATGTGATCAGGGTGTTACTGAGGCGATGCTCTTGGGAGGAAAGCACAAAACTACAAAGAGAAAGCAGTTCATTAAAGTTAAGTTAAATTTTGAGTGGGGTACGTTCATTTTGTCAAGGATATTCTTACTGGGTCATCAATATAAACAATATAATCAATATAACATCAATATAAATGATTCCTTTCTATTTTGTGTCATTCCTTGTGCTGCAAGTTTCAGGCCATGAACAGCAACAATTGTCAAACTAACATATGCATGGTGCTAGCCTGGGTTTCCATTCTGCATTGATGCAACGCGATTTTATTCTTTTCATGCTGCTAGGTAGTCTGGACTCTGGATACCATGGACCATATTTTTTTATTTTTTATAATACACAACTTTCACCCAAACTAAATAATTATAAACAAGTCTTTCTGGGTAGCCTTAGCCTAAATCTTCTATAAACATTTTTGAGTCTTTGCCCACTCAATTTCTTGTTAAAACTCACTAGACATAGGCCTACTTATTCTGTGAATTTTGGACACTATTTGTGTGAAATCATTTTTGTCCATCAAAAGTGTGCTTTCACTTTAATTGAGCATGAGCACTGCAGCAAAAACTGATTCGCCGCCGAAACCCCGCTTCATGCTATTCACGCGACACTCCTGCTCGACACTCACGCTGTTTCCGGTGTGAATGCACTCACTGATTAAAGGCACAATGTGTAGGAATTTCTCCCATCTAGCGGTGAAAATGTATTTTGCATTCGAACAAATTGTGCTCTCCAGCACCTCGCTTTTTCAAATGGACGTTGCATCTACTGGCACTTTCCCATTGCATGGTACGGTACGGCTCAGTTCGGCTCACTTATTGCACATTTCCACTGCATGGTACGGTACGGATCGCTTTAAATGGTACCTGGTCTGTTGAGGTTCCAAACGTACCATACCGGTACTAAACCAGTACTCATACAGAATCGTCACTACCTGCGTCATTGTAAACTGCAGTTCAAAAGCATCCGAGCTAAAGTAAACCGAGCCGTACCACGCAGTGGAAAAGCGAAGCGAGCCGAACCGTACTGAGCCGTACCAAAAAGGTACTTTGGTACTTTTTGTACCAAAAAGCTATGACAGGATGACTTCTAATAGCACTTCGTTGAGTGTTCCTTCGGGGGAACAGGTTTATCATTTCAAACGAACAGCGACTTAACACAACGAACAAACAAATGTTAACAGTATGAATGAACAAACAAATGTTAACACAATGAAAAAAGCTTGTAATTAAGACTACATTTACTTACCTGTCGAGAAGAAAGCAGGACTTTCCTTTGCATATCTTTTGAAATCTCTCTCCTGCATTAGCTCTATCCACTTGGAAAAAGCTATCCCGAAAGCTATCCTGATTGTTTTTTTGTAATCTCCGGTCACGTTTCCTTTTACAGTCTACTTTGGACTTTTCTGGCGACGAGAATTTGCAATGCAGGCTTTTAAACTTGCCGAGGCAGTGACAAACGCTTCTCACTGCTCTGCTTTTTTTTTTTTTTTATTGTAAATTACAAAAATTAGCCAGATACTTTCAACACCAAACAGAAATAAAAAGGTTAACAAATTTCTCATATCATAAAATATAAGCATTAAAAATAAAACAACAAATATATATAGACATATACAAATACACAAACATATCCATACATATGCATTGCAATTGGCTTTATGCACAGCTGCACTACTTCCTGAACTTAAACCAGCTCCTTGTTTCCTGTCTGCCATTATTGGTCAAATTGATTGATTCAGGTGTGCCTGACCTCAGTAGTCATGGCAACAATAATCAGACACGCCTGAATTAATCAAGTTTGGCCAATAATAGCAGACAGGAAACAAGGAGCTGGCTTAAGTTCAGGAAGTAGTGCAACTGTGCATAAAGTCAATTGCTCCTCCGTTTCTGCTGCTTTCAGTTACGTCACGCTGGCTCTGATCTGAACGAAAATGCATTGTGGAAACGCGTTGGCCTACTTTACCCTCTCTGTTATTATAGTTTTTCAAGATGGCGGAACTACATGGAAGTCTCCGTGGACCTACAGTCCCATGTATATAAAGATGATGTATCCTTTGTTTACGAGGATAAGTCAAATAATTGGCAGAGGAATTTGTTAGGGATGAGTCGTGATCTTCTAATAATCGAACTGCATTCAATCTAATAAAAAGTTTTTGTTTGATTAGCATAAAACTTTACCAGTAGCAACAGGCAAGTCCAAAAAGTCCTGAAGGGGTGCTACAGATCTGACTCCGTTGAATGCTATTCGCTCATAAATCATCAAGAAATAAACTCACAAGAATCAGAATTTTTCAGTGTTGGTTAAAGCTTTGAATTTTAAAATCATAGTGGCTACAGGATATATATATATATATATATATGGTGTCTACAGGCTACTGAGTATAAACCACCAGTAAACCTATATGCATATTGGTTACTAAATAATAAATATAGTTCGAAACACTACATTTACTGTGTAAAACCAATGGGCCTTTTGGGCTGCAATTTACATTTAAATAAATGTTTGTTTGTTTGTTTTTACAAAATACCATGTAAAGAAATTAACAAAAAAAATACCCCAAATTATGTTAATAAAAATTTGAGAAAAGTAGCTTTGTTATAATTACAGCTAAAAAATAAAAATAAAAAATGATGTCAAAGGTTAAGAACCACTACTTTAGAGGAAATTTAACAATACATTGTGCACTTGCATCCACAAGGGGGAGTCAAATTCTTCGATAGGGTCCATCAGATTTATCCAAAGAGCTATATAGTATCTTCAACAAAGAAAAAGAATGTAACCTTCATTCCTTAATAAAATGCATGAAAAGTTTACACTCACAGAAAAGTGACGTGATATAATTTATTATCTTTAAAATAGAGATGTCAGTTCAATTCCAATGTCTACCTCTCACCTAACAGAATAGACTGTGAATTTTACATTAGGAAAGTTAAAAAAAAAAAAAAAAACACTATTTTAAATTGCCAGCAAAAGCATACAAGTTACCAAGCATTCATCATTATTATTATTTCTAAGACAAAGCAAGACCATACATACAAACAAACACAATTGTCAAAGGTGAAACTTTTTCCAGATGCTTGGCAAGCCTGTCATTGTACATAATGGTTTTCACAGATATTTAGTCAAATGTCTAGACATAACACAGCCTGATTCACAAGGAACCCAATTAACTCCACCTCTCGATCTGGTGCTCATCAGCATCAAGATAATAAAGCAGATACCCAAACCCGAGTCCGACAAACAGGAGAGATTTAATTCAAACAGAGCCTGCATACTTACATCATCTGGGTTCAGCTCCTTAAATAATGCACCAATGATGGTGCTGGAGTGATGGAGAGCACACAAAAATGTTTTCCTCTTCCTGTTTCGATCATGTCAACTTCCTGAATTTGAGGCAATGTAATTACGGCTCTATACGTAAAACATATAAATTAGATATTTAGGTAAAGGACACTTGTAAGGATGTACCTGTGTAAACAGCATTAAGTAATTTGCTATAGAACGGGAAGGCAAAGAGGAATATGTAGCACAAAACACTCCTCACCACAGTGAACAAGTCCTCATCTTACCCATCATAGGCACAAAGTGACAATTTGAGACGCATGCCAGAAAAACCACAACATTACTACAAAAACAGATCCAGCATGAAAGCAAAATGTAGGACTATGGTAATACTACATATTTTGGACAGAAAATATACATGTAACAGACCTGATGACACAGGTAAGTCCAATTTTACCAGTAAAGTTATTAGAGGAAAAACTTTTTTTAAATAGACGTAGCTATATTAGTTAAACATTAAATATCACTTAATATGAGGGGTTTCTGGAAAAGGAAGCACATCTCCAATGAACATCTTTAGACCAGATGGCAAAAATAAACAAGGAGGATTATGGTGTCTGATATAAACATTAAAATGGTAAATTATGCATAGAGCATCAGTTTAAGTATGCATGATAATGTAAATGCAAGCAAATATGCTTCAGAAATGTTCACACTTAAATGATTAAAAATAACCCAGAGCATTTTTTCCCATGAAACTACCGTTCACTCTCACCTTTTCCAAATTCTAGCCAACAAGCTCCCTACATCAGCGCGAATTTGCTCGCATCACAGACGCATTTTGGTCCTCTCTCCGTTGTAGCAGTAGCGCTGATAATCCAATCTTATCCAAAACATTAGTACCAAATTTTCACCCACATTTAACCCAAAACCTCTACTAATTCACATTGTTTTACTGCTACCAGATCCTCTGAAAAACAAATAACATCTTTGGATGCAGGTCTGGGAAAACTTAGAGAGCAAATTCTTTAACCTAATAAAATCAGCACAGTCCGTTCTCAGTCTGTTTGCATAGGCATTACATTTTTGTTAAAGCAGCTTTTTCAGGTATGCAATGTCTGAAGAGTGGTTGAACTGACATATTAGCAAGATCTTAACAACTCAAACAGAATCTAACACATCAAACCTTAGCTCTTCATATCTGTCCAGCTGGCCTAACTGAATCCCTGTTCTTGAACTTTGATGTCTCTATCATGTATGGGAGCACCTGAGGCTCACGTAAAATATCTTTACTTGATCTAACGCTGCTGAAGAGGGAGGAACGGGGACAATCCGACTCCATAACCATGACCAATCAAATACAAAAGTAGTCTAAAGTGCAAATTGAAGATCCTGTTGCAGATGCCCCATTGATTGCAGAAAAGTCTTGTTCATTTTACACATGACAAGACTCCCATCTTGGTGCACAATATTTTATAACATGCAGCTTGAAGGACCAACAAACGGCTTGAATGAATGTCCAGTGTGCACTGTTTCTCATCCACAGACTGTAATGTCCCACGCTCACTGCATGATGAAGCCTGGCTGGGGTGCCATGCGTGGAGGGGGTCTCTGGGGCACGGGTGGGGGGTACTGCTGCATGTACATGCTGGGGTATCCCTGGTTAAGAATGAGTGGTGCGTTTCCAACTCTGGGGGGAATTGGGGGGTATGGAGTAGTGGGAGAGAACGGAGAGGTAGGAGAGTAGGAGACGGCTGTGGCGGGCTGGACAGCAGGACTTTGAGTGACTTTAACAGGGGGAAGAGGTGGAGCCCGGCGGGGCAACGGCATGGGGGAACCATTGACCTCTCTATGGAGAACAGCTGGCCAGGAGGGAAGGTCCTGAGTGCGAGAGGGCTGAGGTGTAGCCGGAGCCATGTGGTGTCCTTTCAGCACCATTTCTTGGAGCTTCTCTATCTTGACTCTCCGCAGGTGTGCCAGCTTCCTCTTGCTCTGATATTCATCAATGAATGTGTCCAGAGGGGCTGCACCATCGAGGAATGAATCAGCCATGTTCTGATTTGAAAAAGGAGGAGAGAAAATAGTAGAGTCCATCAGATGCCGAACAATCCCTAGCAGATATCATGCAACTAAGTAAGTTTAATGACTAAGATAAGATGAGTGAGGTACCTCAGTTTCTTCCTCGACTTTGGCCCCTTCTGCTTGTAGGAGTGCAAGCAATGTGTCCAAAGGCATGTTTCCAGATATGTGGTCTGTGAGGGGACCGAAAAGAAAATGTTATTAAGAAGTCTGAAAAATTATTACAATTTAAAACTGTCTTCCTGTAGCTCAAGCAGTAGAGTAGTGTACTGGCAATGACATGGGTTCAATTACCCAAAACTTAAACGCTCTTTGATTAAAGAGCACTTAAAGCAGGGGTCTCAAACTCAACTTAACTGGGGGCCACTGGAGATAAGAGTCTGGGTCAGGCCGGGCCGCATCAAGTATTCCATAAAAATAGTATTTAAGTATTCCTAGTGGTGCACGATATATCGGCCGCCGATATAATATCGGCCGATTTGGTCAATTTTTTACACATCGGTATCGTTCCGATGTCAAAATAGGGCCGATGTGAACAGGCCGATGATCATTCCCTGTGTATTTGACGTGCGTGTAGGTGTGAGTGTGGGGGCGGGGATGTTTGTTTTTGCACGCGTATTAAAAGCGCAAGTGCGTTTAAACATCAAGCCACGAAGACTGGAACTGGTGAGCTGTTTTCTGCCGGCCTTCCTAATGTCTGGTGAAATTGTTTTTATATCACAATATATATCGCAGAAAAATAAAATATCACAATGTCATTTTTTACCAATATTGTGCAGCCCTAATCCTCGCTATGTGTTTTCTATACAGGGATATTGACATCGGTAAATATCGGTATCGGCCATAACAGCAATGTTAATATCGGTTATCGGTATCGGCCACAAATTTTCACATCGGTGCATCACTAAGTATTCCAAAAAAGGAGCACAACTGATCCAATCTTCTCAATCTTTATTATTAACGTTTCCTCTGAACTGTTCCTCTGAAGTTGAGCATTCCTTTCTGTACATGATTGGTTCTTCATGAGCTGTCCTTCTGACAGTTGAAGTTCATTTTACGCACTTTCTTTGTTTTTTCCTTATAACACATCTTTGTGATGCTTATATTTGCTCATGTCCTCTTTTAATTTCTTTATACAATACATTAATGATATTATTTTTTTTTTGGAAGGGCCATTCCATGAGGGCCATTTGTTTTGTGTGGATGTATTCATGCATGCATTACATTCATTTACGTGTTTGCATGAATATTCAATCTGTAATTTTTATTCGAAAAATAAAATACGAATTGAATTTTACTACGCTGCTTTGCTGGCTTTAAATGCAGTGAATCCATGATAAATCCCAAAGCACTAACTCACAGTTATAATTAAATGCACTGGGTGGCGCCAGGGCTGCCAACTCTCATGCATTCAGTGAGATTGCATTGGTACAAATGTTGCAATAAACAACATTGCAGATGATCTTGTAATAAAATTACAAAAATGACAAAAAAAACTCAACCTTATCTCTTTTTGTTTTAGTTAAATTTCAGTTTTATCAATAATAGCCATTATAAAAGTATAAGTTAAAGGTACAAAAAGCTGTACAGTAAAGCTTTAATAACAAAGCAAACAAGTTAGTCAAATATACAAATTCAGCACTCAAATATTTTTAAACTTCACTTAGCCTTCTGCCAAAACTATTGGCCAGGGAACCAATTATAGATTCACAAGACCAAAGATCGCCTGTGTTAGGTCTACACAAGACGAATTATATCTCATGTTTAACCACTGCAGAGACGTCAGAGTCAGCGGCAAACATCAGAATGACTAGCCGAGGAAAGGCTGTTCCAGGCGGTGGTGCACGAGCGCAGAGCATCCGGTGATTGCTTGGAATGGATCTCAGTCAACTTATAATAAATCTATAAATAAACAACAGATTTGAGCTCTAGAAAACTACATTCTCACCTTAAAACTACATTTCATGACACAATAGTAGTACTATATTTTAACTGTAGGTCTATATAAAAAAGGTGCTTCTGATACCCTTGTAGCACACGCAAGTGACGATACTCTGTCAACCAATCAATGTTCTGCAGTGAGTCTAGTTCCAACTTTTAGTACCGTACCACTGTGCTACTTGCTCCAACGGAAGGGTACCAAAAAAGTGGTACGGTACGGCTTGGCTTTTTGGTACCATTCACAACTACCACTCAGTGAAAACTTTTTGGTACCATTCACAACTTTTGACAGTGGAAACGCAAATAATTGCGCACCGTACCGAACTGTACCATACCACTCAGTGGAAACAAGCCAATAGACACCATGAGTAGTTTTCCCTTGTCAGTGGTGTAAAATATGTAGTTGGATTGTTTCATGTAACTTAGTTCTACTCCCTCGCTGTGTTGTGGCTTTGACAATCAGCTGATTAGTACTATTGACAGTATTAAACAGTAACGTTACAGGAGTAACCAACCCGTCAATCGCAGAAAAATTAAATCGATCGATCGCAAAGAGTTTTCAATACCAGAGAAAAAAAACAACAATATTTTTATTCAACATTATGTATCAATTTGTGTGTAGTAAACACAGGTGTCTAGGGGATGCGGAGGTGTGAGCGCTGTTATTCACGTCATTTTTGCTGCGTGCACCTTTAACCAGCTCAGCCACAGCCCTACAGCATAACAGCTCATATTAGCCAGCTAAACTTTTACTATACCCCGTCAGAAAAAATATGTAGTTGGATAGTTTCATGTGCTTCTTCTACCTCGCTGCATGGGTTTGCTATGTGGGGAGAAACGTGCTGTTAAGTTTGTGAGACAATCAGCTGATTATTATATTAACTTGTATATTAAGACCCTTGATTCTCATCTGACTATGGCTTTGTAAACTTTATCCATGATGTTGTTTATATTGTACTGTGGTACATAAACTTGGCTTACTCTGGCTATTCTCTGCTGTCTCAGACAACGACCGTACCTTTCGTGGCTTCTTAAAAAGGGAGGGGTGAGCAGTAGGCTGAGCCATAGATGCAACTCGCAACCGAACCGCTAGATGCCGCTAAGATCTACACACTGCACCTTAAAATAACCAAACTTCAACAACATGAGGGCAGATCTTTTGAGCGCTGCTGATGACGCAGTAAAGTGACGCTCGAGTGGTCAAGAAAAAAAAAAATCATGTTCTTTCCTTGCAGGAAAGAAAAGGAAACGAGGATGCACAAATAAGAATTGAGAAGCACCCTTTGTGTATGTGCCTTAAGTAAATTAGCTGAAGTATCAATGGGGTGTGTTTCACCTTTCAGTTCAGGAGCCTCAGCATCAGATTTCACTGTACAACTCCATGAGTCAGCAATTCTCAGGTCAACAAACGCTTGCGTTAGAAACTAATGTAAAGTATTATTTGATTAAATTACATAACATTTTACATATAAGCTATTCATTAATCATAATCAACAGCCATTCATTAATCATTATCTAGAGAGAAATGTGTAATGTTAAGAGTTAGACATAGCTCAAAAACAAAGGAAAATAAATGCTGCACCATTTAAAAATCAAAAAACGTATAATAATACTAATTAAATAAATTTACAGAACAAATACATCGATATAAGCTTTGATTCAATCTCAAATCAAGGCTGTCAGACATCACAAGCAACACTTTGACAGCTTGCGATTTATTACCTATTGCCATGTTTGACTATCAGTCCAGCTCCCTTCACTGATTTACATCTATTTACATTTATTTTCCTGGCAGGAGTAACTTACAAAAGTGTCATTGTGTGATGTAGTTATATGCTACAATGAAAATCCCATCCATAATTCTACATGTTTTCCAACCACTCAACAGGCTGCTCTTGCCATGTTCACCACATTACAACCAAACTGCTACTGGACCATGCCCAGTAATGCTGTTTCTTTACAAGTCGTATAAAATGAAACACTGTAGCTGTCTTTTACCATTTATCAATAAAACTCACAATTGCAGATACCAAAATATTGGTGCTTTTTTTGTTTTCCTGCCACTAAACACAGACTACGTTTACAAGCAGCAAATAACCCGTTTAAAACCATGCTGGGATCTCAATGAAGACAACCTTGTCCGGGCAACGCGTCAAATATGGTATATCAGCAGCAAACTACAAAACTTATGTCTCTTTTTCCCATCTGACAGGAGAAGAGGTCTCGCACTGAAAGTTCAAAATCCTGCAAGTGCACAGCCCTCTGGGGGAAAGGCAAAGCCTTCAATGCCTGTTGACCTCTGGCATTGATGGAGAGGATGATCCCTTGAACTGGTGGAAGGTGCACAACATTCATTTTCCACGACTATTCAAGTTTAAAAAAATAAAAAAATAATTATTTATTTATGGTAGAGCCATATATATATATATATATATATATATATATATATAATATTTTTAATTATTTTAAATATATTATATATGTCATTCATCAATTCATCCATCACCTCATGTCATCATAACAGAGGTCTGGCTTCCAGGAAAAAAAGGTTTCATACAGAAGACGAGCTTAAAAAAATAAAATCGCATTTCAAAACGCAAATCGATTATTTTCAAAAATCATTCACCCCTTATGTATCCACCTTATTCTGCGCCCGTTCTATTTCCCAAGATTCATTGCGGTTTAAAATGAGTGAATGGTTTTCAACTTCCTGTTGAAGTATTTGTTTACATAGAATGCTAGCACTCTAGTCCAGACCACTCATCTATATACAATGATATATATAGATCAGTGGTCCAGACATTAGAAAAATATAATCAGTCTACACATGCGTTTTATATTCACGGACATGACCGTTCTGAAAGCAACTTTCAACGTGATTTTAAAGAGAAACCATAAAGAAATTTCGTTTTTATTAATTGAATCTTAATTTAAATCAATATTTCATCAACCAATTGACTGATTTTTAATAAAAATAAAAAGTATAAAAAACAGATGATCATGACGGAGGCGACAGCGCGCAAACTGGACTTTGGTCTCATGAATGAAACTCGGCGTAACGTTATGCCTAACCTCACAGGCCTGAGAAATATATAGACTATGTATATTTGAAAGCAGAGGTAGACAGGAGTCAAAGGGCTAACCAGACAGTCGGGGTGATAGAGACTGTCGGATGTTCTGGATTAGGGAGATCGTGCAGTCATGCATCAGCTATCCTTTGGAAGTTATGAAGAACAGAAAAACATTCATTATCTGTGATTTAATAAAAAAATAACGTGATCAGATCACATTTGATGAATGTTTTTTTTCTATTTAGTTTAGAGATGTGGGGATGAGACAATCTAAAACACATGGCAAAAAAGCAAAGACCAGACTCGAACCGGAAGTTGACAACCGGAGTCGTTGTCATGGCAGCGCGCATTGTTTAGAGCAGAATAAGGTGGATACAGGAGTCTGCTCACACGTCAACGGGTTATTCCGAACGCATCAGAAACCCGACCATAACCCGAATATTGACAGCTTGTAAACGTAGTCCGTGATTATTTCATTAAGTAATGTAAAAAAAAAAAAAGAATTCTCCCATTACAATCAATAAGGCAAAGGCCTTTTTTGTCCTCTTTTGAATGACAATCTAATGAACTCACTTCTTGTTCTTCAACGATCAGCTGATACTGATGATTGACCTATACACCGTCAATTAAAACTGACCTCAGATCAGCTCAAACACAGAAATATCTACTGCTATATATAACAGAAGCTGGCAGAGACTCATCAGCCGTATGATTCAGTGTACATGCTTCAACAACAAACAGAAACAGTAAACAACCTAAAACTATTCCGACCTTGTATGAGGCAAATGAAAATGGAGCAGGAAAGCAAGGGAGGGTAGAGCCTTTTAAATAGAGGCTTATGTTTAATACACAAACACACACAGCACACACTAATGTTCTATTAATGTGGGATATTATTTTGATCACATTAAGTACTGGATGAAACGGGCCCTGATTTTTTGGATGATTTAGAGACATGAACATAACAAAGACCCACTTTATTACTTTTGCTTTACTTACCATTTTAAACATAAATTGTAGAGCAAATAAACCATGTAAGAACCATGTCAGTTTAGCTGATCTCTTCAGCTTCTCAGCCAGATGTTGGTGACATGTACATGCTAGAGGTGCATCTGGCTACAGTATGAGTAGCATACTACCATTCTACAATAGGCATAGCATGGACACAATATGCAAATGTTTTGGTATGCTTAAAATACCTATTGCATTTGCCTAAATAAACATTATACAACAAAGCATGCTGTGTGAACTACTGTATGCCACATGTTTTATTTCATTCCCAACATCCTGCAGGTCATGAGACTCCTATTAGTCTACAGCTAGCCTATTCAACTTACTTTGTGCTCTGTGCAAGTGTGTGAGAGAACAAAGAAAGACAGAAAATACTGTCTGTCTGTGTGTGTGTGTGTGTGTGTGTGTGTGTGTGTGTGCGCGCGCGCGCGCGTGTTCGTACTTCCCCTCACCATCCCCTGTTTCTGACATTGCTCAGGGCACAAAGCCACACTGTTACTCCAGAGCACCGCAGCATCAGAATGGGCCATCACACTGAAACACCCCAGATAGCTGCTCTATTGTCATGGTGTGGCTTTTGGAATAGTGGTGGCAGTGAGTTAATGTACACACAGGAACCTCACCACACAATTAATTTAGCCTAATTACTAGGGCTTTTTTTGTTTATCTAGGTCAAGGGAATGGCTGACTGGCCAGCCTGCCGGCAACCCTGTCCAGATGCACTGACACTGGCACTGCTACTGCTGCTGTTGTTGCTGAGCCAGTAAATCCTTATCTGGGGCATAACCAACAGCCCCAGCCTTGGAAACTGGGTAACCTACATTTCACCAAAGCCACTCTTTTTCTCTTCATCTGTATACAGATGACAGTACACCATGTTTATTTCCTCTATGTCAAAAACAAAAACAAAAAAAAAACAGTTGGACCTCAAAGGGGGCAAACATCTAATGTGAGGGGCTGGAAGTGAAACGTGAGGGGTTTCACAGTGGAAAACTCTCAATTTGAAATTCAATACTGCTACACCATAAGGCTCAGCGACATCTTAAAAAAGTTATATATATATATATATATATATATATATATATATAGCTAGTATATACATATACATGTGTGTGTGTGTGTGTGTGTGTGTGTGAGTATGTATATATAATATGTTTGTGTATATATGTATGCGTGTATATATATATATAAATAAATAAAATAAATAAAGCCATATATATACATATATATATATATATATATATATATATATGGCTTTATTTATTTTATTTATTTATTCATTTATGGTTTCTTTCAATTTATTCATTTTAGGTTAGTATGCTGTTGGGAATCAGCTTCCAGGCAACTGCTGCGTCACAAAGGATAATCATTGACAGCGTTTTATTCATGATACCAGCACACGCCATGCACAGGTGATGGATGGATACTGAAAACCCTGTTCTCTTTAAAGTCACAGATCCTTCTCAGCTGTGACATTCATCTGCTACCGTTTAGTTCTGCCTTCCTTTTCCATGAGGAAGAGAAATATAGGGCGAAGTGATGGACAGAGACTAAGAGTTTTCACTTATGACACTTTACTCAACGTCATACATGAGCTATTTCAACGTCACTGCACATGTGCAGTCCTTTCAGTTTTCAATCCGATCAGTTGTTTACATGTCCTCTCGATCGTATTAGAAAAGGAATAAACCACCGTTCTGTACTCGATCGAAAATTTGTTTGAATCAAGCTCAGTCGGATCGATTAAGGTGTTTAAATGAAGGCTTTTCAGTCCGTTCGAGCCATCATTCCAATTACTAAAGGATTATCTGGTTACATGTAAACATAGCGTAGCCCTTGCCTGTAATATTGAAATAACGGAAATGTGTTTAAAAATCATATCACCATTATTGAAAAAAAATATTGAGATATATATTGATATTGAATTATTGTCCAGCCCTATTCTTATATGAATGTTTATTGCATTACTTTAGTGTCAAGTGTGTTATGAGGCTGTTTTATGTGTTTGTGTGAATAACATGCTGCGCACCATATTAGTATTTATCTTCTCAGCTTGTGGAAAAGCAGCTCCAACATACTTCAGTTCCAGAATACACTATATTTCAAAACTCAAGCCAGCTGACATTGAGTGTACAGATGGTAAAATGAAATGAGTGTTAGTATGCTGTTTGGAATCAGCTTCCAGGCAACTGCTGGAACACACAAAGGATAATCAGTGACAGCGTTTTATTCATGATACCAGCACACACCGTACAGAGGGGTGTGGAGGGATAGTGAAAACCCTATTCTCTTTAAAATCACAGATCCTTCTCAGTTGTGACAGTCATCTGCTACCGTTTAGTTCTGCCTTCCTTTTCCACGAGGAAGAGAAATATAGGGCGAAGTGATGGACAGAGACTAAGAGTTCACGAAAATGACATGTAAAACCTGAAAAACAGGCCCTTCAAGGAGTATCTTATAGCTGGAAAAGATGACTAAGTTCATTTGTTCACATGCCACAGCAAAGCCCAGAGGAAGCTAACTTTTACATTGTCTCCATCGCCGCTTTTCAAATTTACATTTGGTAAAAATAGTCCCATTCACATAACGGACATTTTAACCATAATATAGCCTAATATAAAATGAAAAACCAAGATGTGCAAGTAAAAGTCAAGCTGTGTAATTGTGAGGGACATCCAATACATAGAAAGACAGAGAGACAAAAGGAAGTTATGTTTTAAACGCAGTATTTTACCTAGAGTGGTGTTGCGCAGCTGATAGGCCTCAAACAGCTCCTGTAGGTTCCTGTAACGTCTGGTAAGCTCGTTCTTTTGATGGTCAAGCATGGGTTGGAGTTTAAGGTTTTCCTCAGCCAGAAGACGGTTACTAGCCAGGGTCATCTCCTTGTTCTGTTGTATTCCTTTAATCTGAGAACACACAAGGAACAAATTAATTCAATAAAAGGCGAGTACACTACATACATTTAAATACTAAATCATTCAAAAGTTTGGGCTCAGTACAATTTTTTTTTTTTAAAACGTAATAAATTTATTTAGCAAGGACACATTACATTGATCAAAAGTGACAGTAAAGACTTTACTCAAAATATTTCAAATAAATGCTATTTATGCTATTAATCAAAGAATCCTGGAAATGTAATTTTAACACAAAAGTATTAAACAGCACAACTGTTTTTAACATTGTAATATGCTACTTTGGTTCTCAAGAAATGAATTGTGATTATTCAATTGATGTGACTGACTGAAGACTAGAGTAATGCCTGCTGAAAATTCAGCCTTGCCATTACAGGAATAAATTACACTTTAAAATGTATGTTAAATGTAAGTTATTTTAAATTGTCATCATTTATTATAATATAACAGTTTTTTTAAATCAAATAAGAGAGACTTCTTTCAAAAACATTTAAAAACATTTTACTGAACCCAAACTTTTAAACAGTAGTATCATTGAATAGACAATCGGAAAGTACAGAAAGAGAATGTATTGTGTCATGCCTTTTTGAAAGGAAAAAAAAATGGTTGCAACGTCACTGTAGTGTAGTCTGTAACAAGAGTAAATATTTTCACTTGACTGTTCATAAATCTCTCGCAGCATCATGTTGCAGTTTCAAGTGACAGAGTGAACTGTCAGGATACATTTCAAGATAAATGTAAATAACATGGTATGTCGGCAGTGGAAAATGAAGATTAAATCTATGACCTATCCATTACTTTACTTTTAAAACTCAAACTCAAATTTATATGGTAAATGCCATCGTTACTGTTTTTACAATGGGTCATGGAAAGGAGTGGTTTAGAGTAGTAGTCAACCGATATATCGCCACGTCCGATATTTGGCATTTTTAAAATATCGGCATCGGTCGACAAGTTTTTCTGATTGGCCGATGTGTTGGAAGCGGGACTTTTATTTTGACAGTGCTGCAGACTTTTATTTGCATTACATAATTTAAACAAATCTCTGAATATCTAATAAACATTTAATTTCACAAACCGTGCAGATTTAATCGACTCTAGCTGTGGTGTCCTGTGAAGTGTGCATTTGTAGCCTGCAAACGTGAGTGACGGTCCGTGCGCAGTGAGTGAATGCGAACAGAAGATCAGCTTCACAGGAGACACAATCGAAACATTTTAAATCTTTTATTTCAAAATATTCTGTGCTATATCCAGTTGCCCACTGTGTCATATTCATGTCATTCTCACTGTGTGATGTATGTAAAATTAGCATTACCTTGTCAAAAGTTAAAGTCAAAAAAGTATATAAAAAAAAAGATTATCAGTCATCAAAAAACCCATATCAGTCGACCACTATTTAGAGACTGAATCTTCAGACGAGTCATTTTAGAGTCTTTGAGAAATGAGGTGATGTGCAATGTTTATATGGAAAAAAAAAAATTAAATATTGTGTTGTTGTGACCTCTGATGCATGTAGACCTGTTGGAGGAGCAAAATTAAGAACTTTTAAAATAGCATAATGGGGCACTTTAAAGCTTCTACTCTCAAGAAGGTTTCCCAGTAGATGTTGGAACATGGATGCATAGATTTTCTCTTTTTAATACACAAGAACATCAATCTGACACTGAAGGTTGCAAATGGGCAATTTTATTTCATGAACTACATATCTCAAAATATAATTATTTTTGCTTTAAATGCCTAAAGATGGCCGACTGACCCAATGCGTAAAAGAGCTTGCACGTATAAATTAGTATGCATGCATATGAAAGAGATTCACCACCGAGAATCAGTTAAGAGGCTTAAAATTATTTATGCAGATATTGATTAGAATCAGTAGGCCTTAGATATTTAGGTCACTTTGCTTTTAAGCCTCTACTTGTATACCGGATGTTCACAATGTCCTTACTGCAACAACAGAGCCTTATGGCCCAAAAGCATGAATAAAAAGAGGGGTCGGTGGCAAAGGGTAGCTGTACACATCATGAAATCACACTATACAAAACAAGTCCACAGAGAAGAAAAAAAACAATACAATTATTGCAACATGCCACCTCTGGTGACTCAAGAAACTATGACTGCCATAAGGAACATTTAACAGTATTAATTGTCTGACTCCTCCCTTTTCAACAGGTGCACGCCTGCAGTTTCAGTTTAGGTATGTGTCAGAGTGCATAACAGGATGAAGTGTCTTATTTCTCAAACACCTGCCTATGTCAGCTGGCAGGTTAGAAAACATTTGTTCTTCTGTGATTTTACACAGCCTCTGTCAGGCTGTCCTACATATTACATGACTGGGATAAAAATAAAAATACTCAAACAAGCACTCAAAATATACAGTTAGAGAAACTGTACTTCATACATCAAATAAAGCAGAAATAGATGCTGACAGATAATATGGAAACCAATTATCCAGTTAATACAGCAATCCTAGCTTCTGAAATGCAAATTATTGCTCTTCACGGTAATCCTTGTCCTTTCCAAATCGGACTAAGGGGAAGTATTCATCACATTAAAACTAACACAGCCTTCTAAAAGACATGTAGACTCATATATGAATCCACAGCCATTGTATTCATGCGGCAGATAATAACGTTATTACATAATATGTATTGTTACTATATTTGGTAAAGGTTTCTGGAGCACCATTTTAGTACTAACCCACTTGCCTCAGTTAAGTGAAAGCCAAGTTTTTTTTTTGTTTTTTTTTTTTTAAGAATGCTCAGGCTAGTTTAAGAAAGATTTTAATTTAAAAAGCAATAGGTAAATTATTAAGCGAGTCCTTTATAAATAACTTCTTTGGCCAGGTAAATAAAAAATAACCTTTTATAGCACCGAGTTACAGTGTTGCCAGATCAAACATCCTCTTGTGACACATACCGAGTCAAGGTTCACATCTTCCCATGAATTGAAAGGTTAAATCAACTCAAAGCTGTGAACATGCCCAGAATACCATCTAATTGAGAATATGCAAACACAAGAGTGAGCAAACTTTGAACTTACACAGCAAGTCAGAGACCTGGTACTGATACTGTGTGCACTGGCAGTGCTTATAGTATGATGTGAATACATTTATGGTTATGCATCAACAATTATAATTGACATGATACTCTGATTAAAAATCCAATGATTGTGGTAACATGTACTACACTGCCAAAGACTTTTCCTTTTACATAAAATCACCAGGGACTTAGTTTGCTTTAAAATGGGAACACGCACATCACACACCTTGCCTATAATAAGAAGTGTACTTAGTGTACTAATGCTAAAAATAAATTAAATGCTACTACAAATAAAAACAGAAATACATAAGACCAATGCCAGTAATAAATTGCAAAAGAGGATCACGAGAAAATGACTTTCATCACTGATAGAGGAAATGTATGTTCCTAACTCAAGTGCATTATTATATACGGTAGGTTGAACCGTTTCTGCTTTCGTGACAAAGTCACTTTGTCTTATTGAAAATGTATTGTTTAACGGATGACATCATAACACTTTGTCATAGCCTACGACTTCAAAAACATACCATATTGAGGTCACGCGCAGAAATGTTCAAATTTAAATAGTTCATAGTATAAACACGTCGTAATTATAAAACAAAGAATTTAAAAGTACAGAAATAAACACGGCCTACGATGCAGAACCTCTGTATAAAATGGTGCTGTTCCAGATTAACGTAACAAATCAACTCGCCGCGGTAACTTCGCGACGGTCTTCACGAGGAAAATAAACTTACCTCTTCCGAATCGTCGATAAATTTGTTGAGCTTCTCGTCATCTTCGAGCAGTTCGTTTAACTGAGTTAAAGTGTAAGAACTCAACTTGTTTTCAAAACCAGCCATGTCTGGCACAGCGGTGTCTTTCACACTTCGAACTCTCCGTCTCCTGCGGTGGGACTGGGCAAAGCTGTTTTTTTTCAGCCGGAAGACGACAGGAGGAGATGCGTGACGTCACCCGGCACATCACCGCAGGTCTCGAGAATGATACGCAAATATAATAGGTTTGACTCGCACTTGAAAAAAAAAAAAAAAAAAAGAGAGAATGATACGCAAAAACTTTTGAAAATTATATTAACATTTCTGATATGTCTTTACACCCGTGCAAGACGAGTTCTATCTATCTATCTATCTATCTATCTATCTATCTATCTATCTATCTATCTATCTATCTGAAGAGCTCAAATTTAAAAACTCAAACTGAAAGAAATACATATAGATGTATAATGACAAAAGCACGTATTAACATTAGTAAAATTCAAATGAAAACTGAAAACATAAAAATAAAAGCTACTATAAACTACCTGTGTTAGTATGTGGGAACTTAAAAAAAATCTATCCATCAATTCATTTTAATTCCATTTACATTTAATAACATTATTAAATTATCTCAGATATTTACATTTGAAACAAATGTACAGTACATCAAGTATATCAAGTATTGCTTTGTCCAAGGCCAAGGTACCCCAGTCTAGTAAACACACTCTTTGACATGCAAGCAAAATATGTGATATATCCCAAGATACAATTACATTTATAATAAAATCAATCTAGGATTAAGGCCATCATACCAATAATTAGGTAATGTCAACTTTCTCTTAGTAGCGTGCTTCATACTCAGTGTCACAACAGTCTTCTTCGCTCTCCTTATCTCCTTCCTCCAGCACTCGAGGTGGGGCTGGCGATATTTCATGACCATCTACATCTATTTCACTCCCCAGGATCTGTCTCTGCACAAGCTTAAAGTATAGGCCTCCCCTGGCCATAAGTTCAGCATGAGGGCCCTGCTCCACCACAGAGCCTTTGTCGATCACCAGAATGTTGTCCGCTCTCTCCACTGTGCTCAGTCTGTGGGCAATCACTAAAACCGTGTGTGTTCGCATCAAGTTGTTCAGAGCCTGCTGAACCTAAAACAAAGTAGTGACATGAATGAAGTCTAATGCAAGACTAACAATAGGTATGTTCACTTGAGCCACGGCCTTTCAGTATAACAGCCACTCAAGATCAACAGCTCTTACTATGTATTCGCTTTCTGAATCCAGTGCACTTGTGGCTTCATCCAAAATGAGAATGCGAGGGTTTCTGATGAGAGCCCGGGCAATTGCAACTCTCTGTTTTTGCCCACCAGACAGCTGAGCGCCCTTCTCTCCGACCCCTACAACAGAGGGCAGAGCAGCATGATGAATTATGAGCCAAACTCTGATACAAAACATGTCCAATATGTTAAAAACATCCAATCAAAATGAAGGGTTTGAATATCTATTATAGTCATTATAGCACTGCATAAGCTATTCAAGTCAGATATGGAAGCTTTTGTGTTAAATCTGAATATGTTTTAAGAAGAAACATTTCTCATTATTATCAATGTTGAAAACAGTTATGTAAATTTTTCTTTTGGGATTTTTTTGATGAATAAAAAGTTCAAAAGAATAGCATTTATCTGAAATAGAAACCTTTTGTAACATTAAACACTACCTTTCAAAAGTTTGGGGTCAGTAAGGTGTTTTATTTTATATTTTTGGGGAAAATAAATCAAATAAATCATTACTTTTATTCATCAGTGATTGATCAAAAGTTACAGTAAATACATTTATAATGTTACAAAATGTTCTGAATGTGACATTGAAGACTGGAGTAAAGATGCTGAAAATTCAGCTTTGATCACAGGAATACATTTCATTTTAATTATATTAAAATAGATTTTTTTTATCCAATAAATGCAGCCTTGGTGAGCAGAAGAGACTAGAACATTTTTTTATATAAATATCATGACATAATATAATGGGTGTGTGTCTGTGTGTAATCACATATATACATCTATATAATAATCTAATCTAATCTAATCTAATATAATATATAACTAACCAGTGTCATAGCCTTTGGAGAGGCCCGTTATGAAGTCATGTGCATTGGCATTAATGGCAGCCCTGATGACCACCTCCATAGGAGCTTCGGGTATACCATAGGAGATATTCATCTGAACAGTGCGGGCAAACAGAACAGGCTCCTGACCCACCAGTGCCACCTATAAAAAAACAGAGCACTAACATCTCCATTTGTTTTTGGTTCGGCCACTTTACCAACATCAGCAAATGCTGCCCTCTTATGGTCATAGAATGTACTACAAGCTGCATTGAAAACAACACTATTACAGATAAATAAAAACATATATACATTTCTAAAATTTTATTACCAAATAATGTATCCATTCAAAATGTAGAATGACAGATCGACCTCAGAATATATCCCACCTTAGAGTGATAATATTTGTGCTGGTAGGTGTTCACAGGTCGGCCGTCCACTAGCACTTGGCCTTGCTGAGGGGCATAAAAGTTCTCCAGCAAGCACACACATGAGCTTTTTCCACCACCAGAGGGCCCTACTAGTGCAGTTACTTGGCCTGGGCGAAGACTGAAGGACACATTCTGAGAAGAAAATGTGGGTTCAGTTTCCTTCTTACGTGTATGTCTAGGAATTCTGTTACTGATTCACTAGCAAATCAGTATAAAAGTAAAACGAATAAAAGTAGCATTTAAGGTAACTTGCAATGCACCATTTGCAAGGACAGTCTTTGCTGTTCCCAACTTAAGTCATCCATAGCAACCTGAGTTTAAGCGTTATGCTCAGGGGTACAATAATGATAAAATATATCTCAATAATTCTGCAGTTCATAGGTTTTTTTCTACTTGACATCATTCTGATGCTTAGCCTTTGAGTTCTTAGCCCAAATCATTAACATTTATCAGCCCTTACAGTGTCCTAAATAGGTGCAATGCAATATGATTACAGCACCATGTACACTGGAATGTGACAATGTGGCTCAACATGACACTATCAAGGCTAATGAATCAGAATATATTTTATGTGGCCAGAAACCAACAAACAAAGAATACCTTCAATATTTCCATCTCTGGTCGTGTTGGATATGCAAATGTCACATTTTTGAATTCCACCCAGCCTTCAAATGTCTCTGGAGCTTCTTGACCATCAAGGTCATCTTTAGGTTTCCTGTCAATATATTCAAACACTTTCTCGGCAGCGCCAACGCCTTGCATCAGACCTGTGTACACCGAGGATATACTCTGTAAAAAAAGACCAGTGTTTCAGATTCATCATTTGAGTTTCATTCACATGTGTACATTTTAAAAGAAAAATCAAAGTACCTCCAGGGCCTCTCCAAGCTCTAGCTCATAGATGACAAAGGAAATAAGGGTCCCTCCACTCATCTGATTTGTCACCACTAGATGGCCTCCATAAAACAGGACTGCGACTTGTAAGGCCAGCTCAGAGATCTAAGGAAATGAAGAAAGAAGAAAGATTGAAACTGGACTTGAACCGCTAAAATAGTTTAAGGCCTGGTTTCACAGATAGGGCTTAGACTAAGCCAGGATTAGGTCTTAGTTCAATTAGGGCATTTTTAATTAGCTTTTATAACACGACCTAGAAAAAAAGATATGTCAGTGCAAGTTGCTTTCTGTAAAAACAGCTCAAAACATGCATTTTAGTCTGGGACTAGGATTAAGGGACTAGGATAAGTCTTGTCTATGAAACCGGGGGTAAATGTGGCAAAAATTTAGACAAACTGTGAAGCAAAGGGAAATAAATGATGCTGGCTTCACATGCTATCTGAAATTTCCTACATCCCACTTCTAAAGCTGTGATTACGATCTCGTCGCATTCAAGTGCTTTGTTGTCGGAAAGAACAGGAATCATGAAGGACGCCAGTTACTGTACATAAGCCACCGAGACTCTGTCTTAAGAACTATTCTGACCAACTAGCAATTATTAAGAGCTAATCTTCCTTACTTTCCGGATTCAAATTAGTCTAGTCCTTTTATGTAACTGTAACTTGTAAGACTAGTATTATTATCAGTTTCTGCAAATGGCCACAGGTTTATTCTTTATTGGGAAAATCTTATTAAAGGCAAAATTATATTTAGCGTCCCATTCATTGACAACCAACATTCACTGTGCTATCTAGATAGTCCGTTTGCTGAAAATTCTGGAATTTCAGTCAAATACAGGCTATTTTGTGTATAAAACATAAACTTCAAATGATTATTCATATTTGTAAATATACACTACACTGACAGGAAGACAAGGCTAATAAAGAGTACCAATCACAGCAGCAACCATGTTTAAAGATTATGGCACGCCCAACTCTGGAAAATGATCCTCAAACTTTCCAGTGGTAAATATGACTTGACAGGGTGACAGATTGCAAAACCAGAAAACTCATATTTACGATAATTCAGATAATATATAATGGATTCTGAGAGGACAAAGACTGAAGGCTTCATTAAACCTTCAAGATACCTACATAGCTTGACCACATGAAGCAGGCGTAGGCAACCGCTTGCTTCTTATTAAGAGTGAACATCTCCTGCAGTCTGCTGTAGTATGAATCCCCCTCCTCGTCCTCATTAGCAAAACTTCGCACTGTTCTCATGGCTGATATTGTTTCCTCTGCCACTTTATTGGCCTGAGCCAGTGCTGTCTGAACTTCTTTGGTTAATTTCTGTTGAACATCACAAATGTGTAATGTTAATCTTTTAGTATGAGTACATCTTTTGTATAAGTGCATGAAATGCTATTATATACAGTATACTGTGCATGTGTGAATAATACAACAGCATAAGCTACAATATACTATAATGCACCACTTTCTATTATTTCTATCAAGCTAAGTTTTTGCATATGCATAACTTGCCTTGTAATACTCTCCATAGAGTTTGGAAACCACAGCTATATATGGGAAGCCCATGATGGTGACTACAGACAGCTTCCAGGACATTCCAAACATGAATATAAAGATGCCCACAGATTTCACAAAGCTACGCAGGAACAAGTTCACATTTTGTGAGATGAGGTCGCTCACTTGAGTAGTGTCTGAGGTAAGTCTAGAGGTAATGTCACCTGTAAGGCA